CATGCCCGGAGGAGATTTAACCTAAAGGAAGCAGGCAGAGGGGCAAGACTGTAGCACAGCCACTCATGATTACTGCAGGAGACAAAATTGATTTCATGAAGAGCCTAATGAATCCAGCAATGCTTTGCTCAGGGACTATAATACCCCCAGAGAGTTGGGTAAAAACTCCCCAAGCAGAAGGGTGTGATATTAGATGACTTTGACACAGCACTGAAGCAGGTAACTAGGCCAGAAAAGTTATAAAATATTGACTCAGGAGCTAGTAAATTTAGCTGTAAAGGCTGTTGTGTTGCTAGCCACCAGAGATTCTCCAGACAGCACACCTGAAGACTAACTGTTGAATGTGCCATTCAAATTACTTGTAAAAAAAAAAAGTATATGAATTAAGTTCAAAAGAGCCTCAAAATATTAGTGGGGATTTCTCTCCCCTTCCTCTAAATGGATCCAACTGATTAGGAAAGAAGGGAAGGTAAGAAAACAGGTAAAGAACAATTCTGAGACTGCCTCTTTGTTATAAGTTCGGTGCCTGGCACAGTAAGAAGTCTAAAAAATGCAACAAATTTTCAGGGGCACAGGTCAGTTGTGAACTGAGCAAAGGAATGATCAAAGATGTGAGTTTAGGGTATCTCCTGTGAGCCAGAAAGTTGTGCAAACCAGAAGTTTTTAAACCTCGTTTCTCCATTAGAAGATCAGCAATGGCAGAAAGACTTGCTTTGAAAGGAGGGCCATAGCTCAGTGTCCCTGGGTCCAATTTAAAGTGCTGTTTTTGACCTTTAAAACCTCATATGGTTCAGGAGCCCTGTACTGAAAACTTTTTCAGCTTGGTGGGTTGGATCCTGAACACACAGCCCACCTCTAGGGGGCTGCTTGCCAATCACCTTATATCCCCATGATGTCAGGTGACCCACTTTTTCTTTGCAGTGTGGTGTGTGTACCAGCTGCGGTGTGAAGGAAGATTCCAGCAAATCAAATTAGTGCTTAGAGTCAACACCAGTCAGAAGGAGTGTCTCCACCTCCATCGTTCTGCCCGGACACTGAGGTCCAGCACCGAGGGCCTTCTGGCGGTTCCCTCGCTGCAAGAAGCCAAGTTACAGGGAACCAGGCAGAGGGCCTTCTCGGTAATGACACCCGCCCAGTGGAACGCCCTCCCACCAGATGTCAAAGAGAAAAATAACTACCAAACTTTTAGAAGACATCTGAAGGCAGCCCTGTTTAGGGAAGCTTTTAAAGTTTAATAGGTTATTGTATTTTAGTGTTTTGTTGGAAGCCGCCCAAAGTGGCTGGGGAATAAATAATAAATTATTTATCATCATCATCATCATCATCTCTGGATCCCAAAGGATGGAACTCACTGCCGATCAGCACGAACTCCAACCCTGCTTTCAACAGGGATCACGCCCCTTGGGAGATCTGACTGGGATCTTCTGAGTGGAACCAGTAGCAATGCTAGCATTTGGCACTAAATATAAAAGGTACTGAATACAAACCCTGCTTGCCAAGGAATGGCTGAGAGTACATTGCAAAGCTCCTGATGGTACCTTTGCAGCCACATCTTTACCTGCCTCACTCCTTACATGGGCCAAATTAAGACCCCTACAGAAGCTTCTCCACTGCTCACCGCTTTCCCATATGAATCTGCTTGGATCCTGAGAGTATGATCTGACACCCTGCTCTTTGTACCACTTCTTACAGAGTATTGAATGCTTCTCCTAAGTAGGCTCACCTGGTGCCAACTTTGTCACTCTTTCAGCATTTTTGTTTTCCCCAGGCATTTGGGTAGCACTAATGACTTCTCTTCTCATGAGAAGAGAAGACTCCCTGGAAAAGACCCTGATGTTGGGAAAGATGGAGGGCACAAGGAGAAGGGTACGACAGAGGATGAGATGGTTGGACAGTGTTATCGAAGCTACCAGCATGAGTTTGACCAAACTGCAGGAGGCAGTGGAAGACAGGAGTGCCTGGCGTGCTCTGGTCCATGGGGTCACGAAGAGTTGGACACGACTAAACGACTAAACAACAACAACAACAACAACAATGACTGGCTGTTTGCCTCTCTTTGGTGGTCATCTTGGGTGGGGAGGCTATGATGGGAATAAACCCTTTTGTGCAATTATTATATTCTGAATATGTTTTTAACGTGGTTTCAGCTTCTGGTTTGGCTGTAAAAACTATCTGAATGCACGGTTCAACCACTCTCAGACTCATACATGCCACAGTCAAGTGGTCCAATGTATCAGAACCATTTCTCAGAGTCCTCTCCAAAGAACATATCAAGATGTTGCAGAAATTATGTTTCCACCCTGCCAAGTTTTTCCAATACTTTTAGTACAGAACTCTGACACACATGAAAAGCTCTTCTGAAAACGCAGATAAGTAATATTTCATGCTGCTTATTGATTGGGTTTTTTTAAAATAAAAAGAGATACAAGCTGAAAACATTCAAGGAAGAGCTAGTAAGAGACAGGAAGGAGATATAAATATTTTGCATTGTCTTTTATGTAGTTCCCTCATCTTTCTAGATCCAAGACTTGAAATGCATTTGTACCATATTACCAGGGAACAGCAGCTCATGGATTCCATAGTTTTAAGGAAACAGAGGTGGTTAATGTTTGATTAAGAGAGTGATGACAGGAGCTGTGTTTGATGCCCTGTTTCTTCCCATACTTGTTTTTCCACCCGTGGTGTGTGGTCATCTTCTTTCTCCTGGATTGTTGTTGTAGCATCCCTTTTCAAATACTATTCAAATACTATAGCAAATTGAAAACAGGAGTGTTTTTCTGCCACCACCTCTGACTGCCTAGTAGTACGAGGGCTTGAAACCTTCTCTGGCCCCCAACTGTGAGTTAGGCTTTGTTAGGGATGGACAGATCAGTCTACTTCCAATCTTTCACATGTGCTCACGGATAAATGCATTCAGTCTTGTTTCAACACTCAATCTGTGATTATCATCTTTAATCTGCATGAGAAATCACATTTTTTCCCAAACAAGTATCTATTATGCAGTGAGCACTAGGAAAATATGCTCTCCTCAGAACAACCTTTTCCTTGACGGAAGATCTTTGGATCCCATGGACATGTGTTGCTGCTTTGATCGACTGAGAGTCAAATCACCATGTGATGGAAGAAATCTATCATATCTTCTAAAATACTTTAAAAACAATCATGGGATTTGAAATCAGTGGCTTGGAAGAGAAAGTTGTGGCTAACTCTTTTGCCCAGTACCCCTTCTCACTACACCATTTCTCCCCAACCTGCTATTTGCCCCAAAGGAGAAAAGCAGAACTACAGAGACCCTACAGGGCTAATAGAAGCTTCAAGGTGCAATTTAGATCAGGAAAATTGTGAAGATTAAACACTAGCTTACCCCCAAACTACTGCTCTGATCAAATTCAGAGCCCCCTGTACTTACTTTAAGATAGTAAATCATCTTAAACCTACACAACAGTTTGCTTTGTCCTGAAAAGGCCCTAAATCAGTATGAATGGCTCTAATGTTGGCTCTAACACAGCAGCACTGGTATGCAACTTAAATCCATCAGAATGCCACACGCATACTCAAGTCCTCTGAACTTACAGTGTGGCAACTGTCTACAGTTTTCATACTGCATTTATATTTTGCCACCAACATCAGTTGTAGCAGGCACAGAATCTTAATGGCATTTGGTGGTATTTGCAAACTTTTAAACAGCCAACCTGTTATTTTTTCAGCTGTGCTATGCTCCATACCTCAGGTGGCATTAAACTAAGGAGCAATAGGATTTCTTTATGTTGTACTATAATTTTCTCTCTTTTTTGTACTATAATTTTCTGATTTCCTAAGGAATACCTGACAGCTCCATTTTATTTGATACTGGTCATGTTTGCTGCTGTGGAAAAATTGGGTGAGAGCACATTTCTGCAGGAACTTGCAGGAGAACATTTCTGTAATAGTGCAATGCTGCTTTCTATTATTCAGAAGCTATAGCTAATTTCCTCTATGAATGGAGACAGCATTCTAAGCAAACAGCTGGTTTCCAGATACAGGAAAGGATGTTGCAAAGTTACACTTTTCAGCTAAGTGTGGTGCATTATTTTTACCCAGCGTGTACAGTTCGGAATTCATCAACTGATCACTGTTCACATACCTTAAGGACCATAGGGCCAGAACACACCTGGAAACCTATGGCTTTGTGAGCAGAGCCCATGATACCTGAGGCATCAGTAATTTGCAAACTCCAAAACATAGTCCATACCTCCCAGACTAATATTTAGATTGAACTGTAGCAATACCATCAGATTTTACACTTCTCTGAATACTGCAATGCAGTTCTCAGCTTATCAAAATGCTTTAAAAAATGTGTAGTTTGCAGAAAAAATATATTTAAAATAAATCCTATGTCCTTGCAACATTGCAAGGCAGGGCTTGGTACCTGAATACAACATTTACCTGGAAATCCCCTTTTCAGTTGCATCTTCAGGCAGGAAGACTTCTTCATGTGGTATGACTAACAAGATGAAACTGCTTTCTTCACACTTTAGCCTCATACAAGCTGGCATCAGCTACTACACAAGCTCCCTCTTTGCAGATTAAGCAATTCCTTGTTTCATACACCAGAGTGCATGTCACATTGCAAGAAAGCACTTTACTCCCACTTTTTATTTACTGTTTACAGGGACTTGTAATACTGTCCTGCAAAACCAAAATGCAGTAAGTGTGTGTTTTGAAGTTGCTGGAAACCACAGGAGGGGGAAAGTGCCCTTGTGTTTGAAACCTGCTTGCTGGATTCCCACAGGCAGTCGTTCAGCCCCTGTGAGAACAGGATTTTGGACTAGATGGGCCATTGGCCTCATCCAGAAGGCTCTTCTTATGTTCTTATGCAGTGATAATCCAAATAAACCCTAGAGATGCCAGTACAATTTACCTGTTCATGGATTCATTAATGTCAAAGTAGAAAGCTGGAAGCAGGCTGATGGCTGAAAAAAGGTGATCTGCATGGATAGGGTTTTTTGTGTGTGACTTACCTGTACGGGTAACCATGGTACTTGGAGCGGAATATCGACAACAGGAAACTGAAGAAGAAAACGACGAGACCCAATCCCACCAGGCATATAACTGGGGGGAAATAAAAAAGCTGATATATTCAATATTAGGTACAATCACTTATATATTGAAATATACAAGGTTAGTTAGGATGTCTCTAGGCATCATCCTTATATCATCTGAGGTAACATTGTAACCCTTTTACAAAAAACAGAATTCCAAGAGATTATCTTTTCGGGTTATCACAAATAACAAGAAAATTGTTGTTTAAAAAGAAAAAAGGAACTAAAGGTGGCAACCTACAAAACGTCTCAGGGTACCTAGAGCTTGCTAGAGAAAGCAATAAACTTGAATTATGTATTTCAGGGAACGTCATTTCAGGTGTGTACGTCAGACCCTTTGGCAGGCGAAAAAATAGTACATCTTAATTATCTACTGCCACAGGTTGGCAAATTCACAGCATCCACATGCCATGTAATTTTTCTTGAAAGGAGCTGGCTGACTCAGCCAATTCAGATGCACTTGAGGGCCAAACTAGAAGAATGTCATTCACTGAATTAGCAGCTGCATGAATGGGATGTTAGAAGTCAACTGCAGGCATGGAGGGCTGATCCAGACTGGAAGGGTGGTAAGAGGCTTTAACTGGGGAGTGGGGGCTTCTGGACCTTATTCTGGCCCCACCCACATGTCCTACACATGACATCATACATCTACAAGCAGGACATGGGCACAATGAAATGCAACAGAACTTTTTCTTCATAAATGCTCTCTTCCATCTAGATCAGTTTACTTTGTACGGTATTGAAAATGTAGGATACAGGCTCAGTGCTCTAAGCATCACTTTTTGCATACAGAACCTTCACTAGGGTTTTGTACCACCCATTGGTTAGATATATATTTTACATATATACTGATGAGTACTGAAGACTGGAAGACTCTTGCTTAAATGTGCGTGCATGCATAGGGACTTGTTTTTGTTTCTTTTAAGGGTAGGGAGGAGTGGAGATTATTCACAAACTGGGAAGGATTAGCTGGTAGCGAGAGCAACATTTTCTTACCTTTGTTTAGGAACTACTACAAGTAGCGACAGCAGCACTGCTGCTCCTGGTGGCCACCTTATGACAACCACAATTTATTCTCCAGAATGCCCCCTTGGAACAATGTGGTGTCATGAGGTAGCCTTATTCCAGAACACCATTCCATTGGGCATAATCGGGATGGGTGTGTGGCAGCCCCTATTGCCCTTTCCCCCCACAAAGCATCTTGGAATTTTGCTCAGTCATGGCATAACGTCATTCTGGTGGGGACATTTTGTGTGTGTGCGTGTGTGTGTGTGCGAAACTCTGCTGCCGCTACATGACGTTGGAAGACCCAACATGTACACATGTACAACATGTACAACATGTGCACATTCCCCACTTCCCAGCTGCCCAGAGTGCCTGAGGCAAGGCAATCCAGTCAGATGGGCAAGGAACTAATAATAATAATAATAATAATAATAATAATAATAATAATAATAATAATAATAATAATTCCCAATTTGCCTCTTCCCATTTATTGCAAGCTGAACATTCTCAACAGAAAAATATTCACTGCAGCCCTAAACAGGAACTCAGAAGAAAGCGATCTGAAAAACATGCTATTTTTTTTGTATTACCCAATCTTTCCTATTTAGTAACATCATCACTTTTACACACACAAACAGGGCTAGTATCCAAAGAACTGCACAGATAGTTCAAGGGGTGCAACAAAGTTTTAGACTTCTATTTTTCATGCTATATAGCAAGCTGATGTTGAAAAGACGTATCTCAAGCAGCTATTTGGATACCTGCCTGTGTCGTTAAATAATATTAGGAAAGAAAAAAGCCTTTTCACAAAAGCACACCAATGTGTTCACAAATGAATAAACGCATTTGCAAGTGATCGTGAAAGATGTATGAGAATCTGTGAGCTTCTACGTGGAATGCGGTAATCAAGTGTGAATCAGAATCTCTGAACAGCAATAATAAATCGGCCAACCACATTAAATATCTTACTTCTCCTTTTCCCAACATCTCCTTTGGAGGTAGCAGCTTCATTCAAAAGAACCATTCCCATGGTGATAGCAGCATCTATATCGTTGTTGTCAAGGAAACAATAGAAATGCGGAAGTCTTACAAAGCTAAGCAGTGCATCTTTAAACTTGGGTTATCAATTTTATGATTTAAAGAGGGTTAATTACATTCAGTGTATGGGTTGTAAAAGTTCACAGAGCTGTTCAGAGAGGAAAATGCATTAACTAGTGATTATTTCTATGTATCTTCCACATTTTCAGAGTTATTTCCCCTTACCTACTTTTAGATTTCTGTAACTGGTTGGAATAGACTAGCAAAGGCATTAAATGAATCCAAGAACACTAATGGTGCTTTGTTAAATTAGGTAAGTATTGTAAAGCCTGCAAACCTATGAGATGTCTGGAAACCCATGTAACAATTCTGGTAGTACAAAATGAATGTCGCCAGGAGACAGATACAGGGTGCATAAAAATAATTACATTAATTCTCTGATTAACTGATGCATACTAAAGCCATTTAGATAGCACACAGTATGCTGTTTCCCAACCAATGTTTGCAAGATGGATAGTATCTGTCTAATGTGCCACAAGAACAGAGTAAAATCACTGCAGCGGCAAGTGTTTTCACTCACTAGCCATTTTTAGACTCTTAATTGCTAGCTTTTACAAATGCAAACAAGCACATAATGATAAAATAATTTTAACTAATTTGCCAGAATCCTAAGCCATTCACATAATTGTTTGAAAACGTATCCGTGAACAGCAACTGTTACTACTGTAATTAACATCTGTTCTAAGCAGTCGACATACAATTGATGTATCATGGGAGCTGTATCCATTTCTAGCCCCCCCCCCCCCCAAAAAAAGGTCTACCATTTTAGAATTTAGCCTCTTTTCTTTTTCTGTTTAATAGCCTTGTTAGTATCTGTAGTAACTAAACGAAAATTATCCACTGGGAACCACGCTCACTGTAAACACCTTATATTAACTAAAGTGCACTTTTTGACTTTAGGAGTTTTGTACTGCAGCTTTTTATGAGTCTGTAGCTGTTAAGAACACAACATCCACGAATAATGACACCGGAGAAAGCATGTCTAAATTAGTTTAGTGAACTTAAGACTACTGAGAGCTGGGGGGGGGGGGGGGAGTGGCATGGAAAGGTGAAGTGAGTTATGCTCTCACTTCTGAATATCTCTTGCCACTTTTCTGTGTGGGAGTTGTAGACCAGCCCAAGATGTTTCATTGCCTGGGGAGCTAGTGGAGTGAAAGGTGGAATGATAGGCAGCCGAAATATATGCAGGTTGACCAAAGAAGCCCCATAAATTTTCAACGGGAGAGAGTTGTGCATGTGCTTAACTCTCTTTGATTAAAACAAGCATGGTTTTAAAGTGTTCAAAGCCTGTTTGGATCATGAACAAAGTTCAAAATAAATCATCTCTACCATGCTAACCCCAAAATATCGACCAGCTTGGGGCTTCTGCCATGGGGAAGCATGAAACAGAGGAGTTCTTGTAGCACTGAAGATTATCAAAACTTTTAAAAATACCTGAATTCTGCTGTTCATAACAAAGCAAATGCTGTCAATGCTAATTCCTCTGTGTGTATCTTTGGCTCTAATCACAGTGCTGTCCACATTCTGCCCCCGTCTCCCCACCAAACATGAAGTGATTTTGGCAGATCATCTTTACTTATCTTCCCAGTTTGTATCAGGAAATTGACAGGGTTACTTGTTCTCTATATTTATTTTATTTAGTCTCCTTGACAGGTAGAAGGGGAATAGTAAAAAAGATAACTGTGTGAAACTCAAAATTCATAAGGTTCTCATATATATATATATATATATACACACACAAGCAGGCAACATCCTCTTAAGTGTTTGGAAAGGCACACAGGAACCTCCAGGTTTCATGAATGTAGATTGGTCTGTCTCCCTACACTTACAGTGCAATCCTACATTTGTCTACTCAGAAATTAATTGGATTCAGATCAATGGGATTTATTGCCAGGTTAAATGTGTACACACACACACACACACACACACACACACACACACTTATTAGAGCTATGAACTGGCTCCAGCAAAATCCTAGCTTCTGAGTCGAATCAGGGTGACTTGTAGAGTCACAATCATCCAGAGTGAGTTGATGCAGGCCTAGATTGCATCAGGTACACCCAGGGCAATCTGCAGTTGTTGAAAGGGGAGGATAGTCAGGCAGCAAGAAGAGGGAGGAAGAAAGAGACACACGCAAGGAAGGATGCATGCTTCTCCCTCTTCTTCCCTCCTGACTGCATGTTTAATCAGGGTTTTAAATCCCAATTATAGACTGTGCAAGGCCCCTGATTTGGTTTGGGGGGGGTCACATCTGGAGTGGGTTGGCTCCGAATTGCCCCTGTATTGGATTGGGCAGGGGTATGCACAGACTGCAGCCTTAGCTGATTAACTGTGTGCATTCAAAATGAATAAATGTACATGGTTTTGCTATGAGGAAAAAATGCAACAGTTCTAATGAAAAACAATAATCATTCTAGATGATAGACATGTGCTGTGGCAGCACGCATCATCGTCAGGCAACGTACTTCCTTCTCTCCCACATGGGAAGCAATGCCATCTGCGATGTTTGTAAGAAGTTGCGCTACTTTAGTTTTACTTATTTTTTTTTAAAAAAACCTGCCACTTTAATAATTGGGATCATTTTTGTCAGTTCAAAACATTTTGAAATCAATCAATCAACTAACCATTGCAGGCTTTTATTTGTTTTTTAAAGAGGGATGGACCCCCAACACCCACCCACCCGATAATCTGTTGCGGCACTAAATCAATCACAAAAAAACAGGACTTTTAGGAAGGAATTTTGGAAGTACTTGGAACTTCCTGACTACTGACCTTAGGCAGGTGCAGTGCTTGGAAAGCTGATTTTGAAAAGGAACTAGTTCTAGTTCATCCTGTTCAAAAAGGAATTTACTAGTCCCAGTTTATGCTTTTACAAACCAAACTATTTCAGTTAAAGTTCATTCAAATGGAGCTTGGATTGAAACTTCATCCTCAGAAATTTCCCCCCAGCATTCAGAATGTTACAAGTGGCTGCGCAGGGACAAAAAAGAAATAAGATGCCATACACAAGTAATACAGGCAGGCATTAAGTCAGCAGGTGAAGCTTTTCCCACAACTGTATTTCCATACTAGAAAAGGCTAGCCCTGCTAAATATATGCCAGCCACTCAGCTATTGAAGACACAAGGCACCAATCCCTTTGTTCCTGTACTTCTCACTGCAAGCTGTTCCTGTTGGAAGGGAACAAATTTCTTCAGCAGGGAAGATACAGGAAATGTCTCACATTCCTTCCTTCTGATTGTTTAGCAACTGTGACTAAGAACCTTTGTATCTGCCAAATTTGGCTCAAAGTGTTACCCAACATTTTGCTTGCTTGCTTTATAGATGCTTAATTGACATTTTTTTAAAAATGAAAGTAAAGAGTTTGCGGAAGTGGTGGGGACATCTGAAAACCTGTAAGAGGCTGCACTGAAGATTTCTAATGCATCCATTAAACTTTAGAAACTTTGGAAACTTTAACCCTCTTGCAGGCAACAGAAGACAAGTTTTTGACCATTAATAAAACACTCGCAGAACCAATGTTTTGTTCTGTAAATACCTGGGGAGGAAGTTTCAGAAGGATTTTGCTCCTCCAAAATCTGCTTCCAGAAATGGGCAGGGCAATGGGAAGGCCAGTCCTTAAAAGATAGTTGCTTTCTTTCTGAAACCTCAGTTTGGGTTGGAAGGTAGGCTATGATCCAGAGGTACTTACTTAAATCAGATAGATGGTGAGATTTACTTAGGCCTATTGATTTCAACGGGCCTACCTTGAGTATGACTGACTCACATTGGCTATCAGCCACTGTTTCATTTGAAATCCAAAACTTAAGGAAATGACCTTCAGCAATGCAAGGGGCATTGGCACTTCTGGTCATGTAGTTAAAAAGGCAGGAAAATAAAACTGGCAGAGTTGCTCATTCATTGTATGTAAACGGGCAGACACTTGGCCTCCTTGTCCTTCAGGCAACTCAGCTGGAAAATTGAAAAAGTAAAATCTCACTGAAAAACCAGATGCTACATCTGAGCCGAGATATCCCGAGCAAATAAATTACGAACGTATAAATAAATAAAAGGCCATTGGCTCACTAAGAGTTGGCCACTTCAAGTACCCATTTTAATTTGTAGAAGATGAGCTTTAGGCTAAAGCTAAAGCTCCACGATGGGTTCGAATCTAACCCAGGTCATTATTTATTGAATCCATTTATTCATAGGGTAATAATTACCAACATTTATCAAACCCTGGCACCATGGAAGAGGTCAGCGGCTGGAAGCGTGGCCAACGAGGCGGAGAACGCTGCCAGCTTCCCTACACTCAGAGACTCCTGATAGTTGCATAATCCCCCCCTTTCAGCAGTGGCTGGCACTGGCTCAAGAGATAGCAGCATCCTTTGGGAGGAGTGTGCCGTGGCGGCACTGCAGCATGTCAAGAGTTAGGCGCCAGTAGCAACTTCCAGGCTAAGCCTCTTCAAGCTCCTGCCATTTTCTGATGTCTAAAAGCAAGCTAAGAGCAGCAGCTGAAGGAACCTGTCAATTAGGTCTCCACAGGGCAGCTGTCAGTTTGCTCAGTCTATTCTCTCACCATGATTGGCACCATCCAGTACCTGCCAAGAAAGGCACAAAAGGCACTCTGGCCAGCTGGGAGTAGAAAGCATATTTACAGTCCGAGCTATAAAACAACTGGTTTTATATGCTGCCGGAGTCTCCTTAACATGATATGCTTTAAGCATGGTGGAGATGGGAGATACATCATCCCCTAGCAACATGCAACCTGAATGTTCCCTTCTGCAGAAGATAGGAAGTGGTTCACATCCCAACTGATGCTCTGCTAGAATTTGGGGGTTGGGGGTAGCAATGTCCTTGAATGCCAGAAATTGCAACAGAGCTATTCTGCCTAGTAATTCAACAGAATTGTGAAACAGCCACCTAGAAATGATCTGATATAATTGAGGCCTCTTCTGCACGCTCTTA